TTCTGAGTGATTGAACAACCTGCCACCGGGCTTCACTCTATGAACACCCTGCATGCCTCTCGTTCTGCTGTGTTTTGGTTCATCTCTTGCAGTTATAAACAATGCTAAACAGCATATTGGTATCTTCTCTAGGCACAGCAGGATTTCTTAAGGATATTCAGTTAAAGGTCCGTGGGTTTAACTTCCGTCTCCCATGGGTTTGAAACAAGTATGGCTCTGCAGCCCACCACCCATCAACCGGGGCCCTTCTTCTTGTCATCAGTAGTACACGTGGTGGCATCTTATTTAGATGTTGATATATGCTTAAATTTCTTATTTCATTTATCTATTGTGTGGGGGGGGAGGCGGTGGTGGTGAGCATACCACAGTGAGTATATAGAGTTCCAAGAACAACTTGCAGAAATCACTTCTTTCCTTCTACCATGTGGGGCCTGGGGATAGAACTCAGGTTGGTAACAAGTGCTTTTGTCTTCCAAGTTCTTAATTTGCATTTTTAATTACTGATGCCATTGAATTTTATCTTCATATTTTGAAAAGATTTTACTTATGTATGAGTGCAGTGATATTTTGTTTTAACAAATAAAACTTGCCTGAAGATCAGAGTGCAGAGCTAAGCCACTAGAGGCCAGGCAGTGGCACACACCTTTAATCCCAGCATTAGGGAGGTGGAGACAGGAAGGGATATGGCTGGGTGGAGAGAGGACTATAAGACTGGAGGAGACAGGAGCTCAGTCCAGTCTTAGGTTTGGTGGAGACAATTTCAGTCTGGAGATGCAGTCTGAAGCAGTCATTCAGAGGACGCAGTCTGAGGACAGGATCACCCCTTTGGTCTGAGGATTCGGTAGAGGTAAAAGGTCTCTAGTGGGGGGGGCTGCACTGCTTCTCTGATCTCTCAGTTTTCACCCCCTAATATCTGACTCTGGGATTTTATTAAGAACAATTAGAATTCGTACTACATGAGTATTTGCATGCATGTATATATGTGCACATGAATGCCTGGTGCCCACAGAGGCCAGAAGATCCCCTACTGGAGTCACACATGGCTGTAAGCCGCCACTGGGTGCATCTGCAGGAGCAGCAAGTGCTCTTAGCCATCAATCTCTCTCTAGCCTCATTATTCGGAAACATTTACCACTTTCAGCTGGTAAACTTGTTAAACTTGAAGTTCTAACCATCTCTGTGCAGGTGACTTCTTTTCTCAGAGATGAGGTTGGACCCACCTCATGCACACTGAACAGCTCTACCTTTGAGCTGAGCCTCAGCCCAATGACGACCATTTTGTTCCTTCCTCATGCCTCTCTGAAAGTTTTGTTAGCGTATATTAATTATATATAATTTTTTATAGATATTTTTAAAAACTTTTTGTTTTGTTTTGTTTTTTGAGACAGGGTTTCCCTGTGTAGCCCCGGAACTTGGCTCTGTTCTGAGATCTGTTTTAGATGCAATAGGATATTGGAAGCATTATTTTCAAACTGTAAGTTTAAGACTAGGCTGGCCTCAAACTCAAGAGAACCGCCTGTCTCTGCCTCCTGAGTGCTGGGATTAAAGGCGTGAGCCACTATGCCTGGCTTATTAAATCTTCTAAAAAATTAAATTTTATTTTATATGCATTGGTGTTTTACCTTCATGTATGTTTGTGTGAGGGTGTCAGATACCCTGAAACTGGAGTTACAGTTGTGAGCTGCCATGTGGGTGTTGTGAATTGGACCTGGGTCTTTTGAAAGAGTAGCCAGTGCTCTTAACTGCTTGCCATCTCTCCAGCTCAATTAAACATAATTAATGACATTTCCTGCAGGGAGTGGAGGAAGCTGAGTGAATTAACTCTTTAGTGGATGTGCACTATTGACATGGCATGGCTGTGTTAAAGACTGTAAGGCCTTAGGTCCATGGGAAATTGGCAAAGTCATTATCCATATCTACCAGGCTTAGAAGAAGTGGCAAAGTTTTCCTCAGGAATGGTTATGGATGATTGTCCAGTGTGTGCAAAGACTAACTTACCTACAAAGACCTCCTACCAAGATGGCTACCAAACCCTGCTAATGAGTAAGAATGCTGGGTTTGTGGTAGAAGCAAACTCCTACCAGACCCCAGCTTCCCTGTGTCTGTCTGTCCTACCTCCATTCCTTTGCCTAGCTAAGGTTCCAAGACTCAAGCTACATGGTTGGTAACAGTTTCTGTTCATGTGTATAATGTGTTCTGATCATATTCCCATCACCCTCACTGTCCCCCCAACCCGCCTTCTGATCCCCTTTCCTTTCTATTGCTCCCTCCATGTGGCTTTTATCATCTTCCAGATTAGTTGAACAATTTGTCTCTTAGCTGTATTAGTTAGGAGCTGTCCCCATTATATTCAGAAGCATGCTGCTGACAGGGAGTTCTAGATGCAGGAGGGTACTGGAGGTATTATTTCCAAATTATTGAGCCCGTACTACACCAGCCCAGGTACCGGGAACTCCTTGTGTGGTCTTGCACTCTGCATTTTCCCAACAGGACTGGATGTTTGGGGTGCGGCACACTGTTGTCATTGTGGCTACCCTCGACAAGGCGGAAACTGAATAGGTACACACTGTCCAGAGCACAGGGGTCAACTCCACACTACCAACCAAGCACCAACTGCCAAGGGGCCAGCAGTTGATGAGAAGTATCTAGCATATTAAAGCCCCGCCTTCCAGTGGGTACGGTGGTGCACACCTGTGATCCCAGTACTCAGGAGACAGCCACAGTTCTAAGCAAGCCTGGAGCAGTCCCAGCCACATGAGAGTGTGCACTCAGAGGTGAGTATGCACTCAGAGGTGAGTATGCACTCAGAGGTAAGTGCATACTGATCTTGTCAAGGACTTGGGTTCAGCTGCCAACAACCACATTAGGTGGGTCACAACTGCAGGTAACTTCAGTGCCAGGGGATCCAGCAATTTCTTCTGCACCCCACGGGTACCTGCATTCACATGGGCACACCCCCCAAATATATACTTAATTTAAAAATAAAATTTTTTTTTTAAAAAAATCAATAAAACTCCTGTTTTCTTCTCTGGAGATTAATTTGACCTTCAGGTATAGTATCAAGTTGAGTGAATTTCATTTGTTTTTGTTTTTTTGAGACAAAAACTCACCTCGATTTTACAGTGAGTTACCATTATTTTAGTGAACTAAAAACTATGACTAAAAGCTACCTGAGATATTAACCAACTACTTCTGTGTAACATGTATTGCATGTAAGAAAAATATTCAGAAAACCCCTGCAAGGTGGTTTTAGGTAGAGGTGTTTATGTGTAGGTCTGACAACCTGAGTTGGATCCCTGGATCCTACACGGTGGCAGGAGAGACCCAATCCCCGAGAGCTGTCCTCTGAACTCCACACCCTTGCCTGTACACACAAGAATTTTTTAATTAAAAAAAAAATAAAAACAGAAAAATGAAATACACAAATGTTTAAAACTATATTAATAAGCCACCACTTTATTAAAACAGCATAATTCCTACCTGTATTGTAAATACAGAAAGCATAGCTCTCGACCCTCAGCAAAGAAACTTCTCTGTAACAGAGTTCATTACAGAAAACTACAAGGATCAGAATGAAGAGAAGGAGCGATCACCGTGTCCTGCCCCGACTCATCTTCTGTAACATAACCCCTGCACCTACGGCTCAGGGTCATCTCAGAAGAGGGGGGTGGAAAGACTGTAAGAGTCAGAGGACCAGGAAGTCTGCTGTGAGATTTGTCAGGGAGGCTACCATGAAGGCTCAATGACATGTCTGCCGAAACAAAACCTGACACTGACACCACCAATAAGCATGCTAATGTGAAGGGTGAAATCTCATGGTCCCCACCCCCAGACAAAAAACTCCGGGCAACCAAAGAATGCTGAGAGCAGAAGAAACAGATCTTCCCAGGAAAGAGCACTCCAACTGGCTGTTCAATACCACGTAGTCAGTCCTAAAAACACTCATACAACATTGAAAGGACCGAGTGGGTTGTATACTTAGGAGTGTGTGTGTGTGTGTGTGTGTGTGTGTATGTGTGTAGAACAACTTTAAAAAGAGGCCAGAAGCCATGAAGGAAATTAAGAGAGCAAGAAGGGCAGTGCACATGGGAGGGTTTGGTGGAAGGTAAGAGAAAGTGGAAATTATACAATTGTATTTTAATTTCAAAGTTATTTTTTTAAATTATATTAATGGGCCAGGAAGGGACAGTGGTACACATCTTTAATACCAGCACTTAGGAGGCCAGCCTGGTCTATGTAGTTCCAGGCCCAGGTACCCCGGGAGGGCACAGCCATCAAGGTGTCACTGAGCCCTCATCATCAAGAAATTCAGCCTCAGCTTCTCTAGGATGCGTTTTAACTCGTAAAGCTCTGGAAACATAAACGAACAAGTCCACAAGAACACAGCTGCATCACCACTGGGAAACTCCAAACGCTTTTGTGACATGTGGCGTAACAGGCTTGAGAACAGTCAGCCTGAGTGAAGACACCTAAGAGATGTCTCCAAAGCCTTCTTCCTACACCTCAGTGCTGCCTAGTTAGAACCTAACTAGGGATGAGGGAACCTCAGTTGAGAAAACGCCTCCAAAAGATCCGGCTATTGGCAAGCCTGTAGGACATTTTCTTAATTAGTGATTGATGTGGGAGGGCCCAGCCCATTGTGGGTGGGGCACCTCTGGGCTGGTGGTCCTGGGTTCTATAAGAAAGCAGATAGAACAAGCCATGAGGAGCAAGCCAGTAAGCAGCACCCTCCACGGCCTGTGTATTGATTCCTGCTTCGTGAGTTCCTGTCCTGACTTCCTTCAAGGACGGACTACTCCCCAGCCTTCTTCAGGTCACAGTGTTTCATCACAGCCTAGCAATCTTAGCTGGGACAGCTCCTGTGCAGCACTGGTGTGCAGCCTCCTGCAGTGCCAACTCTTTCTGGGCGTCATGGAAGCACAGCCCCCAGAGTGTCCCTCAGCTCACAGCGGCCTGCTCCAGATAGGGAAGAAAACACTAATGATAAACAATTCCAACAGTTTCAGAATTGACCATTTAATGAGATGAACATTCCATAATAAATTTCAGAGTTCTATACGAGTACATCATTTCTCCAGGTTCAAAAAATCACAAAAATCCCCAAGCAAATGGAAAGCCATCTTGAATTCAAGCGTAACTCAGATCAAAATTCTCTGGCTGTAAGGTGCAGTGCAGCACTGTGTGCTAGATGTCCTAGCTACTTCAGAGGCTGAGGCAGAACTGGGGATGAAAGCCAGTCTGAACTATAAAGGAAACAGCGACACACTCAGAGGGGTGGTGGGGAGAGGGAGGAGGAGGAGGGCTCAGACAGTCCAGCTTCATCTCTCTGTCTGTCCGTCTGTCCGTCTGTTTACTGGTTGGTTTTTTTGAGACATTAGGGAGGCAGCTGAGCAGGTGACCCCTGTGCTCATTTCTTTGACTGAAGTAACAGCTCTGCCCACCCTCTCCAGCCACAGCTCCTCAAGGAAGCCAAGGCCAGCAGTGAACCCTTCCTAAACACTCAAAACATGACTTAGTCTGAAACATGTATCAATTACTGAGTTCCAAAACAAGTTCAGTGGGATGAGGTGTGCTGACACCTTCCAGAGCCTAGAGGGACAGTGGGGTGAGGTGTGCTGACCTTCCAGAGCCTAGAGGGACAGTGGGGTGCAGTGTGCTGACCTTCCAGAGCCTAGAGGGAGAGTGGGGTGCAGTGTGCTGACCTTCCAGAGCCTAGAGGGAGAGTGGGGTGCAGTGTGCTGACACCTTCCAGAGTCTAGAGGGACAGAAGAGCTTCACGTTTACTGTACTGTTTGTATTTATTTCCCCAGAATCAAAAACTTTAGAATCAAACCACTTTAGCCTATAGAAGACTTTTTTTTAAAAGACTTGCCTTAGAGCTCTCCAAAGCCTTTGGATGACAGATCAACAAAACTCCACCCCACTTTCTCTGATCATAAAAGTGTGTTTTTTTAAACTGTTACTTTTTAAATGATGTGAAACCAACAAGAAGCGGCTGCTCTCTGACTGGTCCTCTCTGGAGAAGATGACTCTGTGCTTCACGGCCTTCTGCCAGGCCTTGCAGAGATAGGCTCTGTAGTCCATGGCCCCGTCTCCCGGAAGCTTGGAGGAAGAAGGCCCCTCTGCCGGGTCCGAGGCTTTCTGCATTAGACTTTGCGTTGTTGCGATAAGCAGCAAGCGGTACTGAGTGACGAGTCTCTCTAGGAGCTGAGAACACTTCTTCAGCGTAGATTCCTGCAGGGCCACGCTCTCTCCTCCACTGGCACGGTCTGTCCAGTAGAAAGCCGACAGGCTATCCACAATGAGGAGGCAGAGGGAGGGGTGACCACAGAAGAGCGCCTCCAGCGAGTGCAGCGTGAGCAGCAGCTGCATGCTGCTACTGCAGTAGGCCAGGAAGAGCCTTCCCAGGCACAGCTTGATGGCTTCCTCCGAGCTCCGCGACAGCCTGTGCTCAAGAACCGTCACAAGGCGGAGCATGTCAAAGTGGTAGTCTGTATCGATAAATAAGACCTCTATTTGTAGTCCGCCCTCTGATTTTGGAAGTATACACCGGGCTGTTAAGTGATAAAGCATTTCTGTTTTTCCCGTTCCTTCTGGACCATGAAATTCGAGAATATCACCTGTGTAAAATTCAGAAACATCAGTCAAGACGCAGCAGTGTGACAGCGAGACACAGAACACGTCTCAGAGAGCCTTATAGAAAGCAGTACTCGAGTACAAGCTAAACACCTAACTCCACCTGTTAACGGGGATCTGCACTGCAAACACAGATAAATAAGGAAATTCATACAGCATCTCTGAGAAAGGACCCAGTGTAAAAAAAAGAAAATTTTTTTTGGTTGGTACTGAAGATGAAATCCAGGTCCTTAGCTGTGGTAAGAAGCAGCTCTATCACTGAGCCACACCCTCAACCCAGTACTGAGAGATTAACCAGTACCAAAAGAACACACGCACAGCAAGAGGGAAGCTCCTATGGGCCTGGGTGACTCAGGCCACTGCAGCCTCACTGTTTTCTGTGGTTGAGCCTGAGTTCGGGTCTCAGAGCCCACGTAACACTGATGCAGTAGCACTCCTGTGGCGAAATGGAGGGGGGGGACAGAAGTCCCAGAAGCTTATAGTCCACCCGGCCTGCTGTACAGAGTGCTGGCGTAGAAGGTGAGGGACATAGTCCATCATGCAAAAGCACAAGGTAGAAACCTACAGCAGACGTCCCAAGCCTCTTAGGACCCTAACACTGGTAGGAGACGCCACCTTAGCAGCTACGTAACTGACAGCCAATCTTGAGCATCACTGACTGGATTTGGAAGTCTGGCCAGTGAGTAATAACTCAGGGCGTGTCTGGGGAGAGTTGCTATCACGATGGGTCAATCCCTTGATGACCTCATATGATGGCATTTATTGGGAGGGGGAAAAGCAGAGGTGGGAGCTAGCTGAAGGAAGCAAGTCACTGATGTGTGTCTCTGGAGAACATCTTGTCCTGGCCACTTCCTGACCTCCAAAAGTGAAGAACAGTCTTTTCACGATGGTAGTACTGGGGCCAAGACCCCTCTGAAACCATGAGCCAAAGTGAGTATTTCCTTATTTAAGCTGTGTATGTGTATTATGCGTATATAAAGGAAAAAAATCGTACATGTTTATAAATAAGTAAAACACATATGTAAACATGTTCAAACAGTATGCTTTATAAATGGGACAGTCCATGTATCTTTCCTTGAAGTTATGATCTTTGTTATGTTTGCAAGTTGTCACATACACACGCATAAATACAAAGTTAGTGCCCTTATCCAGCTGAAGTACAACTTGAAGCAAAAAGAAGAAAACAAGAAGAAGAGGAGGCGGAGGGAAAAAAAAAGAAAAAGAAAGAGAAGGAAAAAAAAAAAACCCTTGGAGCTTGGCACTTGAACAGCTGGGGAAATCTGGATGGTTTGGCCCTGACAGCTCCTCTTGAGTAGATGCTAGGAGGAGTCAGGGCTAAGAGACTGAGGCAAGAGTCAGAGCTACAGCCTTTAGAATACCTAAGAAGAAGGCCACAGCAATCACTAGCCTAACTGTGGAGCCAACACACTGGATTTGCCGATCACAATTCCTGGGCACGCAGAAAACAGCTTCCAGCTGCAAATGCATTAAAACGCTTCCACAGCGCAGAGCCCAAGGATCCTTCCTGGAACAGATGCTAGCAGTGGTGGGGACCTAGAACCCCGTCTCAGGTGTGTGCTGTGCCAACAGAGCTCTGTTTAGTTTTACAGCACATTAAATGTGAGCACGCCTTTTGGTAGTGACTAAACATGAGGGTGCTTCTCAAAGTTTCTATAACATGTGATGCAAAGATGTGCTACAAAGCCTCACCCTAACACACGGTTGCTTTCCGAAGACCTACCTCGTGAGTACAAACGCGTGTGAAATGACAGGCTTTCCTATGGAGTACAGGGACAGAGATCTGCTGGACCAGCAATCCCAGAGTCCTTTGGGCGGAGCAGACAGTGGCACAAAGTCAGACACAAAGCAGCACAGGAAACGTGAGTGTGCAGACGGCAGGAAAGAGCAGGAGTATGTTCTGTCACTCTTCTGCCTGTGCGCACTGGAGCTGCTGAGTCCCGGCAGGAGGTGCCCCTTCCATGATGACATCCGGGGCCAGCTGGACAAGCAAATAACAAACCAAATTGTTTCCTTGCCTTAGTCCTCAAACTATTTTTCTTTCCAGGAAACTTACTTAGTATCCCTTTACTTCCATTTCTACTCACCAAGCACAAATTTGGACATTGAGACTCCTAACATAATGTTCCCTTTTGAAATATCCACATTAAAAAATGAAAGCAAAACGCCTTCAAGCTAGGTGTGGTGATAGACACTTTTATCCCTGCAGGCCTGAGGGTCAACTTCAGCTACACAGTGAATCACCATCTTTGTTTTAAAAGGCCCACACTCAAACAGACAAAACCACACAGCCCTAAAACCTATATTACCATTTCCAAATCACTTTCACTCAGTAAAATGAAATGCTTTGGTGGACACATGCGCACAGATATAAAAGGACAGAGCACAGAGATGGGTGAGGACTAACGAGACCTCCACAGTAGTGAATGATAACAAACTATTCAAATTAAGGTGACACCAATCCACACTAGACTGTTGTAAATTAAGATATTAATTAATGACTAGGAAAATAGTTTTAAAATTATAAAAGAGAATAGCAAGGGATTTAAAATAGTACAATAGAGGGATTGGAGAGATGGCTCAGCAGTTAGGATCACTGACTTCCAGAGGACTCAGAACTCAGATGGTGGCTCACAACCACCTATAACTCCAGCTCCAGAGAATTCAACACCCTCTTCTGGCCTCCATGGGCACAGGCATATGGACAGACAAAACATGTACACATATCATATAAAATAAACAAATCTTAGAAAAAAGATAGGATGCTAGACTAATCTATTTAAAACAAAACAACAAAAACCAGAAAGGGAGAATTAGTGAAACAGAAAAGGTATAAGATACAAAACAGGGAGTAAAATGGTCACAACTTCATCTCATCAGTAGTTACACTAACTTAAGTGAATTAAATATTCAGTCAAAGCTGATAGGCAAAACGGAAGAAAAAGGTCAGGCTCCATCTGAGAGCATTCGACAAAGGACACACTTCATAAGCCAAGCGGCAAGTAAAAGAAAAGGACACTATGTAAAGAGCAGTCAGGTGCTTCTTCCACCATCATCCTTCTTGAGACAGTGTCAGACAGCCAGGTAGTTCTGAACTCTCTACGAAGCAGGCTAGCCTTGAACTCCTGATCCCAAGAGTTGGGATTAGAGGTGCACGCCACCACAAGGTTGAAATTGTTATAGTAATACCACACACAATGAACTTTTAAAACAAAAGTTATTATTTGGAATAGTGTGCGCATGCAAGTATGTGTAGGCTAAAATATACGAAATAAATTAGGCGTGGGCTATTTATAATCTCTGAATGATGAATGCTGAGGCCTTTGAGGACTATCACAAGTTCAAGGTCAGCCTGGGCTAATTAGTGAATTCCAGATCTTGCAAAGCTGCAGCTCTGTATCTGTTTAAGTGCTTTCAATACCCCAGGTAAGAAAAATCATGTGGTTTGTCTTAGTCCACCTAGGCTATCAGTCTTAAGCTTTTTTTTTTTTTTTTAAAAAAAACTATATATGTATAATATGTGTAGGAATGTGTAGTGAGGGTAAGTGCCTAGGGCAGCCAGAAGTGTGAGCCGGGAGTCCCCTAGCTGAGGTGCTTACGAACTGCCTGATGTGGGTGCTGGGAACCACACTCTGGCTCCCTGGAAGAGCAGTCCAAACTCTTGAGTGCTGAGAGATCTCTCCAGTCCTCGTTCTTAGGTTTCATCCACATTGTGTGTGAAAGGGTTTCACTGTATGCATATACCGCTTTCTTGTTTATTCGTGTGTAAGTTTGAAAGTGTCACTTTGTAGCCAGGCTAGCCTCAAACCTATGGTGACACCTCCTTAGCCTGTCAATCTGGGATTACAGGCGCCAGTCACTGCACTATGTCACCCTTTCAACCCCTGATGGACATCTGTTTGCTTCAGCCTCATGGCTGTCTGAAGATGTGGCGTCACCGCTCCACCACCTTCTGTGGAAGCTCTACACTGTCCTCAGTATCGGCTGTACCATTTTCCTGTCTTAGCAGAGATACATGATAATTTTGGTTTCCTCACAGTCTTGCCAACACTTAGTTTTTTGCATTTGTTTTAAATAATGTCATCCTAATGTGTAGGAGGTATAAAGGACACATTTTAAAATGATAAATGAGTCAGTCAGCAATAAGACATAAACAATAATACACTTTTGTATGCATAATACTCAAAGCCCTAAGCCCAGGAAGCCAGATAGATGGAACTGAAGGGAGATTAGGTAACAGCCAGATGTTAAGAGCTACTCTAGAAACAGGACAGCTGCAATCAAGTGTAGCAAGGAAGCACAAGTTAGCACTAAACGCCAGAACCAAGAGTCATCTAGAGAGCACTTGGACCAGGCACAGGAGAATACACAATCCACAGTGCACACGGATTAATGAACCACTGGTCAGGCTACAGCACAAGCCTCAGTATATTTAAGGTCTCGAATCAAAGAAGCACGCATTTCTAACCAGAAAAGAATGAAAACAAACTAATGACAAACTAGAGATCTTGTTTATTTTTTGAGACAAGATCTTGCTACACACAGTAAACTAGCTTCAAACTTTGAACTTCCTGCTTCAATCTCCCAAATGCTGGGACCACCTGGCTGTACATCTTTCTGACCTTGGAATAGGGACTAAGAGTCATGTACACGACACTAAAATAGGAACAGCAGAAGAGACATTAAAATCTCAACAAAGTTAACAATGCCGTGCTTCAAAGGAATCAACACAGCCCAGACAACAGGGTGGACAGGCACAATGCAACTTCATCTGCTGGATATGCACCCTTTACCTAAGACTTGTAAAGGCCACTACAATGGAGTAATGAAAGGGAACTTGGCTTTAAAATTAGCAAATATCTGACATTTCTCCTAAAAGGGCAGGCAAACTGTGAGTGAGCTCAGGTAGAGGCAAGCAACATAGTCAGCCCCCAGGGAAGGGCAGAGCACAGCAGGGTGTCACTCTGAACTGATCAGGATGCTGTAGCCACAAAGACATATTGATAATTAGTCCTAGGATGTGGGGGATTAGGAACAGATGCTTCACTGATGGTCACAGGTAAAATGTGAAGCTATTTTTGAAACCACTTTGGCTGTTTTTCAAAGATGAAGCAACACAGCGTTGCCTTATAACCTAACAATCTCCCCACTATGTGCTACTTAAAAGAACCTAAATCCTATCTATCCACAGAAAAACTTGTACATAAAATCATGGCAGCACTGTTCATAGCTTCCAAAATTCAGAAGCAATTCAAATGGCGATCAAGCGATAGTGCAGTCTCATAGTGGGACTATTCAGCACTACAGAATTGGCTACTGGACTGGAGTCAGACTCAGTGGTTAAGAGTACTTGCTGCTTTTGCAAAGGGTCTGGGTTCCAATCACCCACATCACAGCTCACAGGCATTTGTAACTCAAGTTCTAGGCGATCCAACACCCTCTTCTGATCTTGGCAGGGACCAGGCACCCACGTGCACACAGACATACACATTGGCAAAACAATCATATGCATGAAATAAATCTTAAAGGGGGGTGTGTGCTACTGATACATAATACAAAGAAAGATGTGAGGGCCTCCTTAATTACACAAGACCGCCAGAAAGGGCAAGTCCACAGAGAAAGCTGGCCATGGTGACCCAGGGCTACTAGTACAGAGGGGTTTCTTTCTGGGGTGACAGTTAAAAAAAACTGTGTGACTATATTAAAGACAACTCAGTTATTGTGGAGACTCAAAAATGTGAGCCTATTCCACCTTGTCTGAAGGTCAGAGAGTCTGGGCTTATTTTTGCTCTTTCAAAGTTGTCCACAACAGGTGTGGCTACAAAACAAACTATCCTGACCTAGGGTGTGGTTACTTGGTGTTTTAGACATTAAGATGGTACATACAGGTAGATCCATTCCACCCTGACCAAAGGCCAGAGAGTTGAAGCATACTCTGCTCCTTCTTTTGAAATAGGAGGATTAATATATATATATATATATATATAATATGTTATATAATATATAATATATGTATATAGTATATTACATATACTGTGTTCTGTCTGTATGCATGCCTGCAGGCCAGAATGGGACACCAGATCTCATTAAAGATGGTTGTGAGCCACCATGTGGTTGCTGGGAATTGAACTCAGGACCTCCGGAAGAACAGTCAGTGCTTTTAACTGCTGAGCCATCTCTCTAGCCTGAAATAGAAGGTTTGATTTAGGGAGTGGCTGCCTGCAGGATACTTGATCTAGGGTGGGTTCACTGCCCTAAACATCAAATACTATTCTCAATAACTAATGGCTTAATGTCTCAAGTAAATGACTGAGCAAATAACTGTTCTGGTTGTCCTTTGTGCTAAGTGTCCATGTGTCTTTTTGCCTTCTTCCCCCTTTTGTATCAGGGTTTAAAAATGTTTGGAAAATTAAGCATGGGCAAACTCAGAACTTACAACTCAGGAATTCTGCATTCAGGATCTGCTGAGTTGCCCTCCCGGCACTATCCCGTGTCTCTGTATTTCTTTCGTACCTCTGTTCCTCCTACCTAACATTTCTAATTCTCGCGCCCCACCCCAGAATGTACGAATACACCGCGGCTAGGATTACGGCAGAAGTCACCCCCAAAAAGTGGCTCACAACAAATTAGACACCCACATTCTATGCATTACACTGTAACTAAGCTCAAACACACAACGTTCCCTGTAAACTTTCCTGCTGGAGAAACATTAAGAGAACAACTGGGAACCTCAGAACTCTTGCAGCTCTGCAAATTTCTAAGGGAAAGAATGAAAACTAGGCCAAGCAGAATTCCCATGAATGCCGTGTGCTGGGAAAGAGGCCAGTGTGTGTGCTGAAGATGGGATCCTTGACAGACAGCAGGGCTGGAGCTACCTGCGCTGGTGTCCTTCCTCTAGGACTACGTGTGAACATGGAATGCAGGTGCCCATGGGATCGTGTGCAAACTGGCCCCACAGAACTCCCTCCCACAGGCTTTCCCGCTAAGCGCTGTGTTTTACCATGCACTGGTGAATCTTCATCAGCAAACAGGCTGGGTTCGAGTTCTTTCAAGGAGCTCCTTCCTTCAAGTCGAGCAAGGAGCTTACAAAAGAAAGGGAGGAAAAGTCATTACTTAAAAGGATACAACGTCCTAGAAATGCATATTTATGTAAATTTCAAAATCTTTACGATCGTAATTTGAAGATTTAGAGGAAAATACTAAAAGGGGAATACACTTTAAGAGAAGCACTATGTTTATGTTTAAAGACTTCATATTTATGTGTGTTTCTATGGCATGTGTAAACAGGCGCTCCAGGCCAGGGGAGGGGTTGGCTAGCCTGGATTGGAGTTAACAGTGGTGGTGAGTACCAGTGTGGGTGCTGCAAGCCTAATGGGGCCTCTGCAGGAGCAGCATGCATTTTACCTGCGGAGCCGGGTCTGCAGTCCCTGGTATGTAGCTGGCTTGGGACTCGCTGTAGACATCAAGCTGGCCTAAAAAACTCACAGAGACCCCCCTGCTCTCTGTCTCCCAAGTGCTGGTGTTAAAGGTACAAGCCACCATGCCTAGGTCTGTTCATTTATTTTTAAAATATTTAACTTTTAATTTATATATCAAATCTACTGATACAAAATAAGTCTGACTCCTCAAAGGAATGAACAGCAACTGTAGGGTATAATAAGACAAGCTATTTACCATTGGTGTATTGGACAGCAAGTCTTTGTACTTACACCAGTTATACAATGGTCTGATTTAATTTGCCTCATTTTATCATTTTGTCTTTCCCCAAAGGGGGAAGGCAGAGAAAAGCTTCCCTAAGGAGCGCTAGACTTAGCTGTATTTAAAAGTAAGTAGGAGGCGCAGCAGGCTCAGGAGGGTGCAGCCAAAATGCATGAAGAGCCGGGCTGCAGGCAGAGTGAACCCTGATTTGAGCTGCAAGAGCTTGTTGCATGAAACGGGGGGCTACTCGATTGGGGTAGAACCACCAAGGGCATACACCTCTGGGCGTGTCTAGGAGGATGTTCCAGCGAGGTTCAACTCAAGAGGAAAGAACCTCCGTGATTGTGTGCAGTGCCATCACAGGCCAGGGTACCAGACTGGGTAAGAAGGAAAGTAAGCTGAGCGGTAGGGCCCTAGTTTCCCTTCGGCTGCTGTGATAAAACACTGACCAAACACAGCTTAGAGGAGGGAAGGATTTGCCTGGCTTACACTTCCAGTCACGGTTCATCACAGAGAGAAACCATGGAGGACAACTGCATGTTGCTCTCTGCCTCAAGTTCAGCACCTATGGGCCCCACAGGATCAATCAATAAGCAAGACAGCCACAGCCAGCCCATGGGTCAGTCTGATCTAGGCAATTCCTCAGCTGAAGCTTTCCTCAGCGGATTCTAGGCTGTGTTACACTGCCACAGCTAACAAAAGCAAACACCTTCCTTGGTTTCTGGCCAAGGATGAGTTGTGACCAAACCCCTGCTGTCATGAGCTCCCCACCACGATGAACTTAAAATGAACTCTTTATCCCTTAAGTTGTTTTTGCCGGGTATCTGGTTGCAGCAAAGAGAAAAGCAACTAATACAGAAAACCAGGGTGTGTGTGTGTGGGGGGGGGTTGCTGTGAGGAGCCTGACCGCGGGGTTCTGGGCCTCTGGAACTGGTTTGCAGGAGGAATGTGAAAGGGTTTAGAGCTCTGGGTAGAACAGCTCTAGAAAGCTGCATGCAGAGCTTAACGGGTCATCCCGGTGGGAGTTTGGAAGGCCAGGATGAAGAGAGAAATGCAGACAGTGAAGGCCCACTTCCCACTGGAAGTGGAGCTAGATCATTCAAGCTACATTCTGGCAAAGAATCTGGCTGCATTTTGAACTTGGTGAGCCTGAATATAAAAGTATGTATTTGTTTGGTGGCAGAAATCTCAAGATGGGAGAACATTTAGGCCATGCCCTAAATGTTCAGGGCATTCAAACTACAAGAGTAACGGTGCCTGCTGCGATAGGTACAGAAAGCTGTGGAGACCAGCACCATATGGCAGGTTTGGAGGTCATTATGTGAAGCTGCGATGATGAAGTCTAAGTTTCAGTAGAGACCTCAAAAGATGTAAGACGGTGAAACATCCCCTGGGAAAATCTATAGCGTGGAGTGGCTTATGAGAAGCTATGCATGCTGCAGGCCAGAGCTGAAATGGAGGGGATTCCCAAGTCCTTTGGAGCTGTGGGGACCTGACAGTCAGCCCTACACTGATGACACTGTGTTTTTGCCTGCTCAGAATGAACTACTCTATTCCAGTCATTAAAGTGCTTAGACCTGGGTAATAATTTACACAGGTCCCCTGTGATGACTAAAGAAACCTGTTATGGAACCAGGCATCCCTTAAGGGCCGGTGACCTTTAGCTCTGGAATGCCTGGGAGGGCCTAGTGCCTGCAGATAAGAAGCAAGGAGGAAAGTAAAGCAAAGCTCTTGCCCGCTGCAGCTTCCACAGAGAGCTGCAATGCACACCTTTCTAATGTTAAAACCCCACCTTAGCCCCACTGCTGCACAGCATGCTGTTTGGCTCTCAGGCTGCTGTCCTTCTGCTAGCAGGAAGAATAAATTCATTTAATCTGGGCTGGAGAGACGGCTTAGAGGTTAAGAACACTGGCCGCTGCTCTTCCAGAGGTCCTGAGATCAATTCCTAGCAACCATATTTGGCTCACAACCATCTGTAATGAGATCTGGTGCCCTCTTCTGGCCTGTAAGCAGACATAAAGGCAGAACACTGTATACACACTCTTTAAAAGAAATTCAATTAGTCTAAATTTGAACTGTGCCTAAGTCTTTGGTTTGTCCCAGTGGATTCAAACATCACAACAGAGACTCCATTCCCACCAAGAGTGCCAGGTGCTAGATATGGAGCTACAGGATTTCACATTTGCAGGGCTAGGCATTCGTCTTGTTTTGGTTGATCTTTCCCTGTACTCCCATTCCTCATTCCTCTCTTTTAGAATGGGAATGTTCACTCTGTGCCATTGTATATTAGAAATACGTTGCTTGGTATTTGATTTTATGGGGTGGTGGTGGTGTCAGAATTAAGAGACTGCCTTAAGTCTCAAAAGAGACATTAGCCTTTGAACAGTGTTGTTACTGTTAAAGACTATAAGATTCTGATATTGGAATAAATACTAATTTGTACTGTGAGGTGGCCCTAAGGTACTGGGGACCTGTTGTGGAATATTAGTTTAAGATGTGTTACACTCATTTATGCTGTGGAATATTTGTTTAATGAGGTATAGATATGTTGCATTCTTTTATGTTGCATTTGTTTAACTCTGTGAAGCCATGTTACTTTGACTGCCTAAAACACCTGATTGGTCTAATTAAGAGCTGAACAGCCAATAGCAAGGCAGGAGAGAGGCATAGATGGAGCTGGCAGGCAGAGAAAACAAATAGGAGGACAAATCTAGGCTAGAGAAAAGTGAGAGTGAGCAGGAGAGGGAAGGGAGGAGCAAGAGGAGAGGAAGAAGAGGAAGAAGGATAGTTAGAATAAAGAAAGGTAAAAAGCCCAGAGGCAAAATGTAGTTAAAGAGAAATGGAATGATTTAAGTTAGAAAAGCTGGCTAGAAACAAGTCAAGCTAAGGCTGGGCACTCATGTAAGAATAAGTCTCCGTGTATTTGTGAGCTGGGTGGTAGGCCCCCAAAGAGTAAAAACAACAATAAACCAACTACAGGGACCAGGAACAGATTGCTTTCATCTGAATGTAAAATGTTCCCCACTCCCATGAGCTCATGTATCTCGACACTTCATCTGCAGCTGGGGATGAACCTCAACGGAGGTGAGGCCTGGCTGGAAGAAGTGGGCTTGGACTTTAAGGTTTCTTGTCCTCTGGTACCTGTCTGCCACGATATGTGCGAGAATTCCCAGCTGCCAAAGTGGGACTGCCTGCTGCCATGCCTTTCCCTCCATGGCAGACCGTACCCTTAAACTGTAAGCCGAAACAAACTCTTTCTTAAGTTGCTTATCAGTGGTTACAACAACGAGGAAAGTCACTAATACACATCTGACAAAACTAAAGGTCTGAACCTATGCAGCAAGAAACAGTCCTCAGCAGTTAAAGGCAGACACTTAGGGCTGCAGAACCAGAAAGCCAGTCCACTTCTGCAAACTTGAGATTTCTCCTCCACTAAGTGAGGAAAGCAAAAAATACTTCCTTGTGAGAGACGGAGTAACTATGACGCAAGTATGAGCTTATTGTGGTCATTTCAACAGGTCACCCCGGTGGCTACCAGGTAGAGAAGGCTGGGCTCTGTCACTCTCCTCTAGGAGGGTGCAGCACCACGACAGAAGCAGCTAAGCAGCTAACAGAAAGCAGAATCAATGATTTAAATGTCAATGAGGGAAATGAAATCAAAGCCAGTTTTCGAATTATTAGGAATAATATTTGACAGTCTTGGCTACCATGGGCACTGGTACACATGTATGGTGCACGCACTCACGTGCACGCACATGCACGCACACACACACACACACACACACACACACACACACACACACACACAC